TTTTTCACATTTATGCAGAATTTAAACCAGGGGAGGCTGTTTTAGACTGGCCTACAAGAAAACGAGTGGCTTTAGGCACAGCACGTGGTCTAGAGTATCTTCATGAACATTGTAATCCCAAAATCATCCATCGAGATGTTAAGGCTGCTAATGTGTTGCTGGATGAAGATTTCGAAGCTGTTGTTGGTGACTTTGGCTTGGCAAAATTGGTTGATGTGAGAAAGACTAACGTTACGACTCAAGTTCGTGGAACCATGGGTCACATAGCTCCAGAGTACTTGTCAACTGGGAAGTCATCAGAAAGGACAGATGTTTTTGGATATGGAATTATGCTTCTAGAGCTTGTAACAGGCCAACGAGCCATAGACTTTTCACGCCTGGAAGAAGAAGATGATGTCTTATTACTTGATCATGTAAGATGACCTTGATATGTACTGTGACTACTGTCTTTCTTTATGCGTACCTTCTCTCCCTCTCCCTCTCCCCCTCTCTCTCTCTCTCTCTAAACATGTACATGCAACCCCCCCAACCCCAAAAATAAAAAAACAAAAAAAACACACAAATAAAGAGACATTTGTGCCTGTATCAGCATGCGTGTGTGCATGTGTAAACGTTGCAGAGTCGGAGTCACAACTGCAGTGTCTCCTCTACTCTGAAAGGTACGAAACTTTTTAACTTTGGCGGTGAAGTGGGCCTCTAGTGATTTATACATTAACTACTATCGGAGTGCATTGATATATTGGTGAAAGCATATGTCAATTTTCTTATGCTTTCCTGAAACGGCCTGTCTATAAATTCTACGATATGCAGTGCATCAAAGACCGCAGGAGTGTGCTCTCTGGCTCTTATTTCACCTTTTACAGCATTGGCATTGAATATTGAGAATAGCCAGTCACTTGTTCTTGTCCTAATAGATGTCATGAATAACATATTCGATATCAGGCTTTGCATCATTCTAAATGTGCTTACAAATGAAATCATACATAGAGGGATTCAACTATGATGAGATGCCTTGTGTGGGTTTCTTGGATTGATCACTCTGGTGGAACATGATCCATATAGGCGACTCCAAATAGTTGAGATAAGGCTTTGTTGAGTTCAGACTTTTGTCTTTGATGCTGTATAAACTTGACACTATATTTTTGTTTTTGTGTTTTTACCAAATTCCTTTTATATTTTTTTTTCATACTTTTCTTATTTCTTGGTTATGTGCCCTTTGTCTGATATCGACACTTAATTATTCCACCTGTCTGCTTGAAGGTCAAGAAATTGCAAAGGGAGAAAAGACTAGATGCTATTGTAGACCACAATCTGAATGACAATTTCAACATCGAAGAAGTTGAGATGATGATTCAGGTTGCATTGCTCTGCACCCAAGCATCACCAGAGGACCGACCAGCGATGTCAGACGTGGTCCGGATGCTAGAAGGAGAGGGTCTTTCTGAGAGGTGGGAAGAATGGCAGCATGTTGAAGTTACCCGTAGGCAAGAGTATGAGAGATTACAGAGAAGATTTGACTGGGGAGAAGATTCTATTTATAACCAGGTGGCTATTGAGTTGTCTGGTGGAAGATGAGGTAATAAAATGTCTCAACAAGTATGTAAATCCTGTAATACATTGGCCAAATCAATGATAGCATATCCTATAAGCATACTTTCATGTTGTATTGGATGCATTGCTGGGACCAGCTCTTCATCTTATTCTTGTTTTTCCCATATAATTTTTTTGTTAATTTTGGCATGCATTAGAAGACCCATAATCCATGATTGACATCTGCAACAGCTGCCACCAGTCTGTCACTGAGTAAAGTTTTTAACATCCAAGATAAACTTAGGATTTGACTTCTCCTTATGTGATCTTGTGAAGCTGCATCTGTTTCTTCATTCATTTGTAGATCCAAATTTATCTTATATGTCACAGATCCTCTATCATGCAATGAAGCCTTGAAAAAAATGAGACATCTCACTTTAACTTGTTGCACCCTCAATTGATTTGTTGTGAAATTTCAAGGGCTCAAACGTTGATTGAGACTAATTTTTAGGGTTTTTTTCCTTTCCGATTCTTTTGGTAGTTACAGATCTTCGAAAAAGTTTTCTAGCTGTTGATAATTTACATCCAATCACATTTTACATGACTAACTTATTTTTTTGACTTCCAGCTTTATGGATGTTATTTGGTACTGACTGATTACATTGCCTAGACACCGTATGCAATGATACAAAGCCTTGAAAGGGTTGCCTTTCAAATTGAAGAGTTTCCTGACTCTTCTTACCATGTTTTCAAGGAGCAAGGTGGACGTTTAAGGGTTCTATGGCTTGCTTGTATGACTGACTATGGCAGCTGTTCTAGGAGAAGCAATGTCTTCAGCCCAAACAATCATATCTGCCTTTGAGACCTGTTCTTCAATCATCAGATTGGTTATTTCCTTTCTTTCTGTCATTTTGATCGGCCAGTAGGTATTCTGGTGTCATCTCCAAGTCTGTATGCTCCATGTCTTCAAAGTTGATGCTACATTTCGTACAGTTGGCACCGGCCATTGCAAGAGCGTCAATTGACATCTCTCTCTCTCCCTCTCTCAATCTCAGATGGATGTTTCAGGATATTTTACCAACATCAACTATTTATATTGTGTGGTTTCTGTGCAAGATTTTTCTGTTCTTAATGGCAAAATACAGGTGTTACATGTAAAGATTCTATATCTTCCATGACCTGTGTTAGGTGTATACACTTACAAAAGTACATGAACAAATCCATAAATCGAGGGGCTTTATGTCTCTCTCTCCACCCTTTAACCAATTAATGATATTGTTGAGGCCAAAGGGTACTTGAGCTGATTGTCATTGCTTAGGGTGTGCGTCACCATACCTCTTGTTTGTTTTACACATTTAGTTGGTGGATGAAATTGGTAATAGGTGAAATTGCTCTCATGCTATGATATTTTAGCCATTGGAGATTTTTTGAGCAGTATTGTTACCACAGTCCAAGTACAGCTACAGCACATTAGCTTTGGCTATCACAAGTTAGAATATTGGTTATTCAGGTCGATAGTGCTAAAGTTTAGGTATGTATCCAGTGTAGTTACTCGTGTATGCTCTATTTTGCAGGAACCAACATTGGATAATTGCTGGTTAGTATTTGATTTTTTGGCTTGAATTGATTGTTGTCAGTTGTCTATCAAAGGTGCATTTGATTGGAACTGGTTGAATAATTAGGGGGTTCATGATCATATACAGTATTGGATGCACATATATATGCATAAACTGATTGAGGACGTTCATGTGATTTTTTGCTTTTCTGGGTGTACCTTCTTGTTGAGATACATGTGATATGTGGATATTCGATATGGAGGGGTAGGTGCAGATGCATTGCAGCCAGAGGGAACCTGTTAAGAATGTCATTAGCACTCTATGCGTCATGCAGTGAAGATTACTGAAGTTTTTTGTTGAGTATGCTTGGGTTTTGTAAGTGGGTGATGGTTGGTTTTCATTTGTCCAAGAGATATGTTGTGGGTGGGACATTGGGATTAGACTCTTCAAAATGAGGATGAGGTGGGAATGTCTATTCTGTCCTTTCTTTTAGCAACTTTAATTGTAGGTTTTTAATGTAATTATCCTTGACGACTTTACAATTTCAGGAAAAGGAATGCATTTTTATGATATGCATGCATTGAATTTGAAATTTTATAGGCAATATTATGTTAAGCATAATATTATGGAGGGCTGGTGAAAGCTTTAGCACAATATTATGCTAAGCAATTCAACCAGTTATAACCAATACAGAATGGAGATATTGCTTTTTTTTGAACTTCCTATTGTTTTCTTCAGGTAAATCCTTATTGGTTTTATTGCAGCTACGTTGTTTTTTCAGACTGAAGACGTTGAGCTTTGACCAACTGTTTCTCCCTATAGGGAAGGGAGGGCAGGGTTTGAGCCCCACTACTGTTGGGCTCATCAGCCTATTGGGTAGGGGTTTTAGTCAAGTTGAGCCTGTTGGGTTCAAGTACACCTTAACTTGGTTATGATTGATCCAGTTCAAGCTTGAGTTGATCTTAAATTTTTGTTCAAACGTGGCTTGAGCATTTCTAGCTAAAATCAAGCTTAATTTCAAGCTTAATATTTTAATATTTTTTTTATAAATTAAACCGTAAAAAATAGTCATCAATCCTAAATTATCAATTTCTCAAGAATTATATTAAAATTAGAATTATTTATCGAGAGGGATATATTTGAGCTGAGTCGAATTACACATTATTTGGATTAACAATTTATTTAAATTCAATTTATTCTACAATTTGAATGAGCCCAATGAATTAACAACGCGGAATAGAGTCAAGCTCGAGTTGCTAAGATCATTTAATAAGAAGGGATTGGACAGTCTATCTCAATTCAAATCAACCAACAACAAGGGTTTGGACTAGCTAATCAATTCAACAAAATTTTTATTCTAATTTTTTTATGGCCCATTGTATGAATCCTAGTCCTCTATTGTACTCTATCAAGAGCAACATTGACAAATTATCTAACCAAAGAAGTCAAAGGCTGAAGTAATTCACATGGTTACGAACCTTTTAGGCTTAAAAATTAAAAAATCTCTCGACTTTTCAAAGAAAGCTAGCTAAGTTATCAGTTATACATAGTATTATTAATGGATTGAGTTTTTATCCGAATTTGATCGTAATTCAATTCAGATTATGGAGCTTCCGGGTAATTCTTGTGCATTGCCTCACTAAATATTTTCAAATGATAGTTGGGTTGGGTTGCTTTTCTATATGTTACAAATTCACATGGTGCTATTTGCTCATCGCTTGTATCTTTTTTGGGAAAATTGTGAAAAGGTACATTTTATTCTACTTATTTGTGTAAAAGTACCTCAATATAAAATATTTGTGTATAAGTACCTTTATGTGTAAATGTTTGGTGAAGAGGTACACTTTTGCTGAGTTGTAATTTTTTCTCTTACGAAATTACCCTTTTCCTTTATTAGTGGGAGACAAATATGACAATTATATTAGGGATTTAGTTTTCTAAATTTATGGAATATCGTTTATGAATTTTAAATTATATCTTTCTCTTTCATTCAACTTAAGTTATTCAAACTTTCATTTTTATTCAAACATTCATATCTTTTCCATATTTGTATAATTTTTTTTTATTAATCGTAATAATTAAGATGATGATTCTGATTCGAAGGATGATTTGCTGTCTCGCACGATAATGTTACAGTGTTACAAAACAATGTCACACTAGTACTAGAAAATGTTACACTGCTACAAATCAAATTCACACTGCTACAATGTAGTTTATATGTTTTTTTTTAAAAAAAAAATTATTACGGTCTCTTAATGTCAATAACGTTCATATGAGGATAAATGTCAATGATGATGACTCCAATGAGGATGATCGTAATAATCAAGATGATGATTCTGATTCGGAGGATGATTTGCTGCTTCGCATGATAATGTCACAGTGCTACAAGACAATATTACAATGGTACTAAAAAATGTCATAGTGTTACACATCAAATTCACACTGCTAGAAACTAATGTCACATTATTGCAAGTCAATGTTACACTGCATAAATTGACACGACGCATATTACAATGTATATAGTCTCTTTGGTTTTTTTTTTGGCAAATGATCGAACACTTAGTGTGCATATAGTACTAAGCATTAGAAGTCGAAAGGTAATTGAGGAAAAAAAAATAAATAAAATAAAAACGTTGGGAGAAATAACATTTTTCTTGAGTTATCAACTTCTCTTCCAAAAAATTCAACCACTCTCATCCTTTTGCTACAGGCACTCCCATTCAAACCCTTATCTAAATTGTTCTCACCCAGATGGACCCTTTACTGAAACCACTTTGCCCTTTAATGTAACCAAAATATGTTAATGAATTGGATTCCAATCCATATCCAAGATCGTGTGATTGAGTTGGTTCTTCGTTACTAAAAAAATTTATAACTACTCCCATCCTTCTACTACAAAGGTGAAGATTTGAATAATGAAGTTTTGAAAATATCCTTTCTTCAGCAACGATTAATAGAAAGTTTTGAACATCCAAAAAAAGATTTTATAGAAGTTTTTGAAAGAATGGAGTTTCCGGCAATATTGAAAGAATTTATGTGTAAATGTTGAGATCTCTTAAGTTTCGATTGTGGAAGCAAAAATATAAGAATCGGTTTTCATTCTATTGAAAAGAGTATTTTAGAGATTTGTTAGGGGTTGTGTACTTCTTAACTTATATTTTTAAAAGTAGTACTTTTTGCTCTATAATTTCTAAAAAGGGTACCGGCCCCCTTAAATTTTTTTTTTAATTATTTTAGTTGGGTAAATTACACTTACCCCCCTAAACTATCACCCTTTTTTTTAACTTTGTCGCCTCAACTGCTAAATTTCTCATATTGCACCTTAACTAACACTTTTATTTTACATTACCCCAATCACAAACGTTTGTTATTTTTTTGGACAAAAATCACCAATGTATTGGGATAAAGTTAAAAAAGTTATATAGTTTTATGGACAAAATGAAATAAATTTTCATTAAATATATAATAGATGATAATATGTAAGGCAATGTGAAACTAATAATATAGTTGAGATATTGTGAAAAATTTGATAGTGGAGGGGACAAAGTGAAAACAGGATGATAGTTCTGAAGTAATTTACCCTTTTTCTATAAAATAAAAAGGACCATTATTTCCTTATCTCTTGCCAAGAAATGACACTTATACCCTTGACTTTATGAAGATCAACATTAGCCGGAACTTGTGCTCATTTCATATAGGACTCTCAAGGGTGATTTAGTAATAGAGTTTGATTTTTGGTAATTCAAAAGTCCTAGATTCAATTACTTTTCACACTCTATAATATCCGGCCACCATTGCTTTTCACACTCTCTAATGTCCAGCCACCATTGTTCTTCGGAGACATACTCTAATCTAATTCAAGTCACGGTAACAATTGTTGAACTCAAATGATGTGCAATCCTGGACACCTTTAAAAAAAAAAAATCATTTCGGAGGCCTAGCGTGTATCTGTGCCACTAGTTTGAATACAAATGTAGTGGACAAACAAATGTCTAACATAAGACCACATACACCAAATACTGACAATGCTGTATTATTGCCCTGAGGAATTCACCAAAAGCATTAGTTACCAAAAAAAAAAAAAAATTTGGTAGAAGAGAGTTTGTAGATGGTAATGACACATTTCTCCTTCATGCTGATATCTGCCCAAGGCCCACCTATGAACACTATACTCCATGGTTATGCTTCATGACCACTCAAAACACCGACACCATTAGATACGACCCCTGAATTGACAGAATCAATACGGAGCAACAAATTTAAGTTCATTATAGCGGATTTGTATGTAAACAGGTGGATCCGTCAAATATATTAAATAAATCAGACAATAAAAACAGTTAAAAACGCTTATATCTAACTCAAGCTCAACACTAATGTAGCTCTACACAATTAAAAAGAAGTCGGGTATGTATTGAAAAGAAATTGATATGATATGATTTAAACGTTTTAAAAATACAACACACATGACTTGACAATACAGGTTCGTCCCTC